CAGAGTTTGCAGTGAGCCAAGATTGCACCACTGCACTCCAGCCTAGGCGACAGAGCAAGAAAATAAAGAAAGAAGAGAGAGAAAAGAAGAGAAAAAAGAAAAAAAAAAGAAAAAGAAAGAGGGAGGGAGAGAGGGAGGGAGGGAAGAAAAGACAAGACTGGGTCTGAGGAAAAAAACACTGTATTTTCTACCAACAAGGCATTGCAACAAATATGGATTCAGAGTTTATTTTGTGCTAGGCACTGAGGGAAAAAGTTGAAAGTACTAAATCAACAAGCACTTACTGAACACTTTTTATGTATCAGGCACTGTTTTAGGCACTGAAGATTCATTTAATAATGAGCCAAACCAGTCTTTTCCTCATGGAGTTAATGCTGCAGAAGATCATAAGCAAACAAACAAATAATGTGTTTTCACACATTGCACTAAAAAATAAAATAGGACAGTGGGGAATAGGACAGCAAGGAGCAACTTTTGCTGGAATGGCCAAGGAAGATTTTTTTGAGTCAGTGACATTTAAGATCAGATCTAAATGATAAGAAGGGAGCTGCATATAGATACAGTAGTTCTCCCTTATCTGCTTGAGATACGTTTCAAGACCCTCAGTGGATGCCTAAAACTGCGGATAGTACCAAACCCTTTATGCACTGTTTTTTCAATCTGATTACCAAGATGGCTACTAAATGACTCACAGGTAGAGAATGGACTGTGAGCACCGCGAATGGAAACCCACACATGAGCTAGGCTATGATTCAGGAGATGTCTTGAGAGAGATGATAGTCCCACTAGGGCCAGAGCAATGCAGATGGTGAGAAGTAACAGAATTCTGAATATATGTGGAGGCAGAGCCCTCATTACTTGCTGATGGGTTGGTTATTTGAGGAAAAGGAGGACTCAGGATGCTTCCTTGGTTTGGGGCCTGAGCTACCTTATGAATCATGGTGTTATTCTAACTTGGAAACGTTCGAGGAAAAATTGTTTTGATAGAGAAATCAAGAGTTCTGCTTTAGGAAGTAAGGGATAGGATATATGCCCTTTAGACATAACATATAATAGGTTTCTCCTGGTTCTTGAGAAACTCAAAACTATTTACCTTGCATTTATTCATTCAGCAAATGTATTGTCAGGCACTACTTCAGGTGCTGGAACTAGCAGTGATCAAAGCTGATTAAATCCCGGCCCTTGTGCGCTTATGTTCTAGTGAGGGAGACAAACAATAAAAAAGTAAATAAATGAACATATTTAACATAATTTCAGGTGGTGATCAGTACTATAAAGAAAAAAGTATTTAATTCATTTACATATTCAAAAAGTGCCTTATTTTTACAAGTAACTAGACTGGATGTGATTAGCAAGAGACTGCCCTGAAAAGACACTAACATCAAATCTAGTATGTAGACAACAGAAAAAGAAGTGTCATCAAAAAAAAAAAAAGATATTTATAAGGCACTAAGTTGAAAGTAAAGTGAAATCAGTTTCAAATGGGATCACCAAATAAAGAGGAGTTGATACAAGTTGTGATATTTAAGCTGGGCTTCAAAGGAAAGATATAATTTAAATATATAGTGGCAGGGAAGAGGAGGTATGAAGAACATTCCAAGTAGTAGAAATGGTTTAAATGGAAAACAGTTTATATTGAGAACACTGAGCAACATATATTGGCAAAAGCATAGGGTATGTGAAGGGGAATATATTGGTTATCTATTGCTGAGTAATAAAATGTGCCAAACTGTAGTGGCTTAAAACAATAAACATTTATTATCACTTGTTTCTGTGGGTCAAAAATCTGGGCTGAGCTTATCTGGTCCTCTGGCTAAGGTATTAGCTGGGACTACATTCATCTCAAGGTTCAAATGGGCGGAATCTACTTCCACACTTACTCAAATGACTGTTGGCAGGCCACAGGTTCTACCTGGTAGTTGCCAGAAACATCCGTTCCTTGACACATGGGCCTCTCCATAGAACAGCTCACAAGATGGCAGCTTGTTTCCTTCAAAGCAAATGAAGAAGAGAGCCAGAGGAAGTGAACAAGAGAACAAGATAGAAGCCACAGTCTTTTCTTTCTTTTGAGACAGAGTTTCGCTATTGTTGCCCAGGCTGGAGTGCAATGGTGTGATCTCGGCTCACCACAATCTCCGCCTCCTAGATTCGAGCCATTCTCCTGCCTCAGCCTCCCGAGTAGCTGGGATTACAGGCATGCACCACCACGTCCAGCTAATTTTTGTATTTTTAGTAGAGACGGGGTTTCATCATCTTGGTCAGGCTGGTCTCCAACTCCTGAACTCAGGTGATCCACCTTCCTCAGCCTCCCAAAGTGCTGGGATTACAGGCATGAGCCACCATGCCCGGCCTGTCTTTTTGTAACCTAGCCTCAGAAGTGACATGCTATCACTTTTGCCAGATAGAAGTGCATCACTAGGTCCAGCCTATATTCAAGGAGAGGGGATTACAAATATGTATGAATACCAGTGGGTGGTGATTTATTGCACCTATCCTAGAAGCTGCCTACCACAAGGAATAATGGAAAATAAGATTGGAAATATAGACTGGGCCAGATCAAAGAAAGCCATAGAAGCTAATCTGCGAATGAAACTATACAGTTGGAAATGGAGGGTAGATAGAAGCAAATTTTATGTGTAAGCCTATTTTTGGCAAATTGTAGTGCTGGATAAATAGAATTTTGAGGGTCATCTTAAAAACCAGTTGTTTAACAACAAGTAGAAAATGTCAACCAATGACAGCTTCCAGGAAACAGAACCACTCTATTCTATCAGGAAATAGTGGTCAAAAAATTGTACAGAAGATAGCCACCTACCTTCAATAAATAGTTCTAACACTGTATCCTGACAATGCATTCCTGAAAATCCAGAATTGATAACTGATATTTGTGACAGTTTTTCTGTCTTAGGATAGGAAATAAAATTCACTTTCAGTAGCTTTCAAAATTCTTTGATAGCCCAACCCGCAGCAAGAAATACATTTTACATCAGCAGTCCCCAACCTTTTGGCACCAGCGACCGGTCTTGTGGAAGACAATTTTTCCACAAAAAATTGGAGATGGTTTCAGGATGAAACTGTCCCAACTCAGATTGTCAGGCATTAGTTAGATTCTCATAAGAAGTATGCAACCTAGATCCCTCACATGTGCAGTTCTCAATAGGGTTTGTGCCCCTATGAGAATCTAATGCCACCCCTGATCAGGCCAAATGCTGCTCAATTGCCACTCATCTCCTGCTGTGCAGCCCAGTTCCTAACAGGCTTCAGACTGGTACCAGTCTGCTGCCCAGGGGTTGGGGACCTGTTTTACATCACAACTCATAATACACACACACACATATATATGAACACACAGGTAACCACAAATATATACATATGTACATATATACACACACATATATATATACACGCATCATCAAGATAAAAGATTTGCAGAATAATAGTACATATGGCATACTGATTTTTTAAAAAAGTATTCTGTTCTACTGCATTGAAGGAAATAAAAAGCTAGTAGTAATCCACTAAATTCATCACTATCCACCACTTGGTCCCATTCTGAAAGTTTAAAAAATGCTGCTCTTCTAGAACAGTAGCTTAGAAATCAAACAAAATTATGACCAATAGGTATTTGGCAATATCGTTTCCCAGAAGTTGAATGAGGACACTGTGTCCAATGCATTCAAGCCCAAAGCATAATAGCAATTGCTCAGAGCACATCAGGCCTCAGCTGGAAGCCTGATGGAGTTAGCAGGTGTGCCTCAGTTTGGCCCTCGAAAAGACAAATCAAACTGTCAATAAAAACATGGAAGTTTACCCCCTCTTCTTTTTGTGTCATTTACTGTTCAAGTTCTGATCATAGAGACCAGATCAATATTGCAGCCCCCTCTGCCCCTCCCACCACTTTGCCCTCAGCTGTACAGGTATTGTGCTTCTCCTAAATATGTGTTGCAATACAAACCACCAAAAAGTCCAAAGGACATGAGATTTACTTATAGTGCAACTTGCCACCCATAACTAACAACCCTGAGGGCCTCCTTAGCACCTCTAACTGGGCAGAGGAAATGACCAGAGATTCATCTGGAATGAAAAAGTAGTTTAAGACCTTTTGATTGTTATCAGTTGAAACCTGATCTAAAGAAACTTCCTGGGACTCCTCTCTAACCTACCACTACCAAGATTGTTGTGACAAGAAGAGTTGATTGATTTTACTGGGGAATGTATGTGGAAGGAAGATAGTTTTTTCAGCCCTAATTGTGTGTCAAATTCCAAACCTGCCCTTGGGGAGTTCACAATCTCTTTGGGCAGATGATACTACAAATAGTCTGGAATGATTTTGAGTGCATGACAGCATGGGTTTTTAAAAGTCCATCACCATATTGTTTTAGAAAATAGTACCTGCAAAAAGAGGACAGAGTAGGGAGGGACGCTACGGGGCATGCGGGGTGCTTTCCTGCGGCTCAAAGGCTAAGTCTTGTGTGATAGCGGCATTTAAGGGGGTGAGAGGAGGTTGGCCACCAAAGCAAGAATGGCTATTATTTCAGCCTGACCAACATGGAGAAACCCCGTCTCTACTAAAAATACAAAATTAGCCGGGGTGGTGGCACATGCCTGTAATCCCAGCTACTCGGGAGGCTGAGGCAGGAGAATCACTTGAACCCGGGAGGCGGAGGTTGCGGTGAACCGAGATCGCGCCATTGCACTCCAGCCTGGGCAAAAAGAGAGAAACTCTGTCTCAAAAAAAAAAAAAAAAAAAAAGACTGGCCTGAGCGGAGTAGAAGGTTTGGGGTAGGGAACACAGGAGTGTGATGGGGGAAATCGGGCCCTCGCTTGTCAATCATAAACACTGGTGCAGGCGAGGGCTCCCGAAGCCTCATGTGCGGCGGAAATAGGCAGTTGTACAGATTTCCTCAGTAAAATATTGAAAGCAAAAATTGTGATCACACCCAGCCCTTTGCTTTGTGCCCTGCCCAGTTTCTCCCACGTCCCCATAAGGAAGAGAGCAGTAGGTCAAACTTGTTTATTCATTCATTCCACGAACATTTCTCTCTCCTAAGGGGTCTTTGTTTCCAGCAAGGGAGTGAGTCTTGCCTTTCCCGCAGCACCAATTTCTCCACAGTGAAGGGGCCCCCTAGTTGCCTGGCTCAGCAAGACCACATCACCATTGAAGGGAAAGGACCAGGCTCTGCAGAAAGCGCCTCAGACCCGCATTCAGACAAGGCAGTGCCCTTGCAGGGGGCGGTGGTGGTGGGATAAGAGAAGCGACGTGTCAGCGAATGGAAAACTGGGGACTCCCAAGCAGCCTTAGGAGCGCCGGGCTCCCCACTGGGGCCTCCTTCTAAGGGGTCTGGCTTGCTGGCCAAAAGGTGGCCTTTCCGCTAGTCTGGTTTTCCATGGCCGTACAAAAAGGTCATCCCGAAAAGGAGCTGCTAGCCGACCTCGGGCTAGTTTTGAAGAGTGAAAGCAGGTCTAGGTGGAAAAGAAACAACAACAAACCATCAGGACAACGTTGCTGCCTTGGCCCAAGTTTGTGAGACAAAACCTCATTGTAAATCACAAAAATAACAATCAAGAAAGTGTTTGGTGGGAGGGTGGTGTCCCCGAAAAGCCTTGATATGTGCCCCCAAAGCAAGGACTGCTGGTGATTCGGACAGGAGAAAATTTTAAGGAGATGGCTCCTCAAAGACAACCGCATGTGTTGAGCACCAACCCGGGCTGAAAAGGATAGGCAGCGGCAGCATCTGGGGGTCTTTCCAGACTATCTAGGAAGCTGGAGAGAGTGGGCTTTGGCTTTGCGGGAGAGTCTTGGGGGCGCCCTCGGGCGGGGCTGGGCCGCGGGCGCGGGCCGCAGAGGGAGGTGCAGGGAGGCGGGGCCTCGGGCTGGGCGGGTCGGAGGTGGGGCCCAGGTGGTGTTGATACACAAAGAGAAGGCGCCCGGGCGGCCGCGGCCCCGCCCACTGACGCGTCCCGGGGTGCCGCTATAACCCGCCGCTCAAAGGGCTGCTACAGAGCCCCGCGACGCCGCCGCCCTAGTGAACGCCTTTCCAGTACTGCTATCAGCAGCAGCAGCCCAACCACGCGTTACCGCACACTCGCGCCTTTCCTTTGACACGGCGGACGCCGGAGGATTGGGGCGGCAATTTGTCATTTCCTTTTTTATTAAAATTATTTTTCCTGCCTGTTGTTGGATTTGGGGAAATTTTTTGTTCGTTTTTTATGATTTGTATTTGACTGAGAGAAACCCACTGAAGACGTCTGCGTGAGGTTTCCGGGGTACAAGAACAGAGACCACCGAGGTAACGCGTGCGGGGGGGGTGTCTGTGGGGAGGGCGCGGGACCCGGGCGAGAGTGGGGGAGGGGCTTCCGGGAGGGGCCGCGCGGGAAGGCGACGGCGGGGTCCGCTTCCTTTCGAGGCGGGCGTTGTCGGTTGGCCTGGCCAGCCTTCCATCCTGGCCCGCCGCGCGGGGGTCGCGCCCGCGACGTGGGCAGGAGAGCAGGCGCTGGGCCCGGGCCGCGTGCCTGCCCGGTGCGGAGCCGCATCTTCCCATTAGGGGGAGGGGAGCCAGCCTGGCCCGCGGCTCTGCTGCGGCAAGTCTTGTGACTGATTTGCATTTAATAAAAAAAAAAAAAAATTAAGTCCAGGGAACCAGGAATCTGGGGGCGGCGGGGGTGGGCTTGGGCATGTATTATAGGAGAGGCCAAGATTGGGGAAGACAAGTTGAGAACATTTGACAGTCGACGATCGATATTGCATCAGTTTGCTTTCCAGACATAGGAGGGGCTGGGCGGGCGAAGCACTCGCGGGCCAGCTGCTTGTGGACGGGTGTGCTTGAGGGCACTGGCGCGCGCGTGTGTAAATAAACCCCCAGCTCCCGGGGCCCAGGCGTTCGCCCCCCTCGAGAGAGTAGTGTCGGCCCTTTCCGCCTCCTTCTGGGGAAGGCTGTCTGCGGCAGAGGCATTTCCCGGTGTGGGGACTCCAGGCAGTAAAGGACAGATTACGCAGCATTGCTGTTCCAAATGCTAGAAACGGGAAGCCATGCGCCTAGGTTGCATGCACACGAGCCAGGGTCGGGGCTGGATGTGTGCCCTGAGTGCCTGTGCACGTTTGCAGCGGCTGGGAAAAAGCAAAACAGAGCCCTCTTCGCCCCCTCCACTCCGACTGGGGACAATAGAGAGGGTGAAATACTGAAATCTGCCGGAGTAGGGGGCCTCGGCGGCCGCAGCACAGCGGTGGAATCATCTTTGTTCTCCGCGGCTCAGCCGTCTGTACTTTTCCGCCCCTTGGCGCGCCCCCGCCCCTCGCGCGCGGCTGGTACTTTTCCACTCGCCTGGCCTGGGATGAATCAGCCGCGCTGCGCCTCCCGGCGGCGTCACCTGACCACGGCGGGCGGGCGCTGCAGTCCTGACGCGCCGCCTCTACTTTCGCAGGCCGACTCGCGGCCGGTGCACCCACCGCCAAGGACAAAAGGAGCCCAGCGCTGCTAGCTGCATCCGATTCCTCCCAGTGCTTAGCATGAAGAAGGCCGAAATGGGACGGTTCAATATTTCCCCGGATGAAGACAGCAGCAGCTACAGTTCCAACAGCGACTTCAACTACTCCTACCCCACCAAGCAAGCTGCTCTGAAAAGGTGGGAGAAGTTGTGACACTTCTGAAAAAACGGCTTGCATGGGTTGGGTTCAGGGAGTTACCTAGGAATTTGCTTCCATTGCTTTAATTCGCTATAGCATTTAGAGATTGTGTGTCATCTCTGGAAGAGTATCCGATTATCTTGTTGTAATGACAAGATAGCTCGTGTGAAAGTCAACTCCTAGTTAATATTTATACATTTAAGTAAAGGTGTTGTATCAGAACTATGCTGGTGGGGGGTATTTTATGTTCAAGCAGTCTTGTGTGTAGTGATAGATATTTCAATCCAGTTTACAATTATATATGTCTGTATTTTTTGTAGCCATTATGCAGATGTAGATCCTGAAAACCAGAACTTTTTACTTGAATCGAATATGGGGAAGAAGAAGTATGAAACAGAATTTGTAAGTTAAAAATAATAATTTGTCTGTCAGTGGCTTTATGGAGTAAAAGAATAGTTTTACTTTTAGAATTCAAATCTAACTTGCCCAAACCTGGTTTTCTCCATTTAATTATTGTTATATGTTTGGTTATCGTTTTCCCTCTATGTAGCATCCAGGTACTACTTCCTTTGGAATGTCAGTATTTAATCTGAGCAATGCGATTGTGGGCAGTGGAATCCTTGGGCTTTCTTATGCCATGGCTAATACTGGAATTGCTCTTTTTATGTAAGTATGTGTAAGTAGTGAGTCTGCCATGCAGGGCAGTTACTATGATAAAACATATTTTGGCTCCGGAAACTGAGTTTACAGTTGCAGTAGCTGACTCAAGTTACTTGCTTAAAATTAAAAGTATGAGAAACCCCAAAAATCTCTTTATTCTGCTACATACTGCACAATATCAAGAAAGCCAACTAGAAAAAAATAGGGCAGTCCTTAAAACTGACAAATTAAGCCAGAAGTCTTCTAAGTCAGTGGGAATAGTTAAAACAAAATTGTAACAGATGGTAGATACTGAAAAAGAACTATGGCTAAATCCAGGGTAGGTATAAATTTTGAGAAGCTGAAAATCCTATTAAGCTCCAAATCAGTTTGGTAAATTGACACAGTTCTTAAGGACCTGTGGCCCCTTACATGAATAAGGAAAAGAAAATTCCTGTAAACATACAAGGTGTGGTGGTATTTACCCAGCCTGGAACATGTTTGTTTTAAGACGAAGGAGTCATAATTTTCTGGACCCTGAAAAACAATCCATACATGTTTTTTTAATGTTTGCTTTTGTCAGACCTGTTCGATTGCCACATGCTGTGGCAAAAAAAATGAGTATTTTACTAAGTACTTGTTTTTAAATGGTTCCCCCCACTGTTTCACAGTTAGACTTAATTACTCCTGTGCTTTCCAGCATAAATACCTGGATAGACTCTTGGAGGTACAGAAGACATCAGAGCAGTGGTTCTTAGCCATTTTTGCGTCACTGACTCTTGGAGAATATGATGGAAAAATGTGGATCTTATTTCCAGGGAAAAAGCACAAAACAAAAATACATGCAGTCTTAAGCATGTATTTTTCAGTGATGTTTGTGTCATAGCCCTTAAGTTTAAGTTCCCGTGGACCCCTGGCTAAGGCAATTTCTGTGAAGGATTGTGTAACTTAATGCCTTCATTGTACAGATAAGGAAACCACACGTATATAGCACGGAATTGTCCCTTTGTGACAGATATGTTTTACTTAGCTGACTGGTGCCTTCTACTCAAGTTATTTTCTCCAGCACGATAGAACGTTCATGAAAAGAAAAGCAGACCTTTGCAAATCTCTGCTTTGTGAAATTCCACACTGAGGTTAAGCCTGGCTTTGAGTACTAGATGCTAGGATTCACTCTGGCTTGCTTCAATTAGGATGAGGCTTTTTGAGAGAACCCTTACTAAGGTGAAGGACCAGCGAATTACATAGAATCCTAGAATTTCAGGAATTTTTAGTGAAGAATCTGAGTGGCATCACTGTTGAATATTTGAAATCCTTGTTAGCGCTTGGTATAAAAACGAGGCAGTTTTAGAGTGCAGCCAGTGTAGTTAAAGTAAGAATTTAAAGGAGATTAAATGGCACCTCTGTTTCATAAGTGAAGGTCAAATTCTGATGTAACCCTTGTACTCTTGGAATTATACTTTAATAGGTGCTTATGTCATTGATTTACCATTTTACTAAATAGCTAAATAAGATTGCTAAAGTGTGATTTTATTCATCAGTATGTACTTTGTATTTAGAGGTATAGAGTTAAATGGGCCAAAAACCACATGGCTGCCACGGTCCACTTCAACAACTCTATAGCTAACCTTTTTAAGTAGAATCAATCTCAAGGTTGAAAGTGACCTCAAAGGTTACAAAGTCTATTCACCGCTCGTCATTTCAGTGTAAGACATGGAAGGACTTAATTTGGTTTGTTTTTAATTAAATCGACATCTTTTCTCCAGTTAGAAGTGAGGTTGATAGTGTCACCTCAGACTAGGCCCTGTAAAACTTCTGGCATTTAGAATGGTAGTGTAAAGCCACTTCCTCTGTTTAATAGACATCAGTTTCTTTGTCAGCACCTTACATGGTACTGCGTGCAATTTGCTCACACGGAATCAAAAAATATGCAACTCTTCTCTTTTGCAGGGTTTTCTATGAGTTTCCCTGTTTTGTTATTTAATTTCTTTTAAAAATTAGTCTGTATCTCTGGGCTCTCCTAGGTGGAAGAAAAGTAAAGCTGGAATGAGGGAGAACCCTTACCCTAAAGGAAAATAAGGTGACATTAGGGTCCCTTTAGTCACTCTATGTTACCTTATTTTTTTTTCTCTTGCTGAATCCAAGTGAAAAGGTCAAGGGAGGAAAGGCTTAGACAGTCAAGCTGATACCCTACTCATTCTAGCACAGACATTGTTTTAACTGTGACAATACTGGGCCTGTATTCCTTGCCATGGGGTGCAATGTAGTATGTCATTACAATGGTTAGTTCTCTGATTTGTGCCCAGTTGTTAGTAAAGCTTGTAGTGCCTCACTCTTAAAATGTTAGTATCATGTTAGTGTCATTTCCCCCTTACATTCTTTTCCTTTTTTTTTTTTTCTTTAAAAAAAAGACAGTATTTCATTTTGTCCTCCAGGCTGAGTGCAGTGGCAAACTACTGGGCTCAAGTGATCCCCCTACCTCAGCCTGAGTAGCTGAGACTGTAGGTATACACCACCACAGCTGGCTTTTTTTTTTTTTTTTTCCTTTGGTAGAGATGGGTTTTCCCTACATTATGTTGTCCAGGCTGGTCTCGAACTCCTGGCCTCAAGCAGTCATCCTGCCCCAGCCTCCTAGAGTGCTGGGATTACAGGCATGAGCCACTGCATCTGGCCTCTCATTCCTGTTTATATGTATACGGTCCATGTGGTTTTAAAACCTTTCCTGAACCTGTCTCAGTTGAATTTCATAAGAATCTTGTGGGCTAGGTTTAGTAGCGGATATTACTGATATTTTACAGATAAAAGGAACTATTGAAATGCAGAAAGGTGGCAAGCATACAGCTCATTATTGTGGTGCCAGAATCAAAGTACAAGTTTCAAACTCCACTGGGAAGTTGAGCTTTCCAGTGTCTCATGCTGTGTTTGGCTCAGTGGGTAGACATCCTTGTTCCTAACCAATGCTGTAGAACTGTCACCTGAGAAATGATGCAAGTTTTTACTGCCAGGCAAGAGACAATGTTGACACTCCAGTTAGCAGGAGAGGAAATGCCAGTTCTTCAGGGCATTTTGACACAAATAGGACAAGTTTCACACATAATGTTATTTAAACAACCAGAAAGAGTTGTCTTTAAATATAGCCATGCTTATTTATAACCCTGTGCCTTTTCCTTCTCTCATCAGAATTCTCTTGACGTTTGTGTCAATATTTTCCCTGTATTCTGTTCATCTCCTTTTAAAGACTGCCAATGAAGGAGGTATGATAGCATTCTTGATTTTTCTAAAACAATGTATACCTATCATGATTTTATTTCTCTTTTAAAATCCTTGGCTTCATGCTTCTGTGTTCTTCAAATTGTAGGGTCTTTATTATATGAACAATTGGGATATAAGGCATTTGGATTAGTTGGAAAGCTTGCAGCATCTGGATCAATTACAATGCAGAACATTGGAGGTAAGAATTTTTCAAAAGACAGTTTGGGTAGACTTTATGCTCATTGTGTAGCACAGAGTGGTGACATATGCGTTTTGGTGTCACGTGCCGCATTTTGCACTTGTAATGGTATAATTTTGTTTTCCTCTAGCTATGTCAAGCTACCTCTTCATAGTGAAATATGAGTTGCCTTTGGTGATCCAGGCGTTAATGGACATTGAAGATAACACTGGGTAAGTGCTAAGTAAGGTTACTCATAAGAAACAATTATAGTCAAAAGTGGTTGGATATATTTTTATCAAAGTTATATACAAAATGATTATTAGTTATCCATAAATGTTCCTTTTGAAACTGACCCGTAAACTGATTCGAATTTTGGAGAATGAAAGGCCAAAAGATAGTAGCTAGCCCCACAATTTTGGATATCTTAATTTCTAAAACAGGTTTTCTAGAACTTGCTTTCTGTCTTTGTGTTCATACTTAAAGAAGTTATAGCTGTTTTTAACATATGTCCTAAGTGAGGATTGAAGCTTTGAATTACATTAAAAATTAATCCGTCCTATTTTTGTAAGTTTGGAATTCTTAAGACTTAATCTGTTCAGTGCAAAATACAGGTTGGACATCCCTAATCTGAAATCCAAAACTTTTTGAG